CTTCTGTACATGTAGCTCTGTCTCTTTCTTCCATTATTTTTTCCTTAAGCTTTGAACTTGCTTTTGCAACTCTGAACTATTACATGAATAATTTTACCTCACACCTCTAACTCGTGTGTTTAAAAGATTGAGTGTGGAATAAACTCTTTTCACATCGCACCTTTTACTTGAGGTTTGAATTTGAGAGTTTCTTTTATATTTCTCCTCGAACTCGGAAGTTCAAAAGATTATTAAACAATTTTGAATTTTTCACATCGCACCTCACATTTAACTTAGATGTTCAAAGGATTGAATTTTGATTGACAATTGATTTTGATTTTAACATCGCACCTCGAGCCCGTGGGTTTTGAGGATTGAATTTAATCAATTTTTTCACTTATAAACTGTAAGTTTTATGGGAGTCCGTGGCCCCCATTTAATTTCTGATCGAACTCGGAGTCACGAAATTAAATAACTGTTTATTAACAATTCAGCTCCTCCCCTTGAAAATTTTTACAAGTCCGTTCTAGGACCATTTTGACATTTCAAGGGTAATAGCGCTTTAGGTGTTCCGCGTTCCATGGATGCGCAAGCACACTTCTTTCCAGATCGGCCAGCATGTACGTTCCAGGTCGGACTATTCCTTTAACTTCGAACAGTTCCTCCCAACTTGGGTCAAGGGTGCCCACATGACTTTGAATCTTACTTGAGACCAAATGTCCAACTTGAAAGCTTCGAGGTTGAATTCTGGTGTTGTAATGTCTGGCCATTCTGTTCTGACACTCTACTAAGCGTAGCTGAGCCGTTTCCCTTTTTCCTTCCAGTAGGTCGAGGTTGAGGAGCAGTTCGGCCTCGTTTCTAAGCGGTTCGTACTGCTCTATTCTGTCGGTTGGCATGCCGATCTCAGCTGGAACCATAGCTTCCGAGCCAAAGGCCAGTGAGAACGGAGTCTCGCTAGTTGACTCTCTTGGGGTAGTCTGATATGACCATAACACTTCGGGTAGCTCCTCGGCCGATCTTCCATTTCTGTAGTCCAACTTCAGTTTGAGCCCCCGTTTTCTAATTTTGTTTATTGCCTCAACCTGCCCATTTGCTTTCGGACGTGCAGGGGATGAACTGAGATGACTTATGCCTAGCTTCATGCAGAAGTCCTTAAACTTTGCATTATCGAATTGTTTTCCATTGTCTGTCACAATAGCATTTGGTATACCGAAACGGCATACAATGTTCATCCATATGAACGATGTGACTCTGGGCTCTGTGATATGAGCGAGCCCCTCGGCCTCGGCCCACTTGATGAAGTAGTCCATAGCAACAACGACGAACTTGGTTTGTCCCTCGCCCAGGGGAAAAGGACTTATGATGTCAATTCCCCATTGTGCAAATGGCCATGGGGCCGAGATGGGGGTGAGCAGCTCGGGAGGCTGATGGATAATATTCGCAAACCGCTGGAAATTGTTGTAGGTTTTCACAAACTGCTTTGCATCCTGCTCGATGGTGGGCCAATAATACCCCTATCGAACCACTTTGGCCGATAACGACCTAGCGTCATAGTGGTTTCCACATACTCCTTCATGGATTTCTTTAAGGATGTAAAGGCCTTCCTCAGGAGTTACACACTTAAGCAGAGGCAGAGAGAAGCCACATCGGTACAATGCTCCATCTCGGAGTATGAACCGAGCTGCTTTTCGCGCCATTTATTTTCCTCCTTCGAGTGTTGTTGCAGAATTCCTTTGATGAACTCCACGATTGGGTCCATCCATGAGGGTGCTGGAGTGTCAACCTCCATCACATCTGGCTCCAAGATTGAGGGATTGTCCAAAATCTCGATCAGGACTAATCTGGCCAGGTCGGTCTCATATGCTGATGCCAACTTAGCTAAAGCATCTGCATTGGAATTTTCTGATCTTGGAACTTGATTCACCTCGTATGTCTCGAACTGGGCGAGGTGCGATCTGACTTTACTTAGATATTTTTCCATTCGGGGGTCTTTTGTTTGATACTCCTCCCTAATCTGGTTTACGACCAACTGGGAGTCACTAAAGACCTTGATGTGGACGGCCCCCTGTCCTTTAGCAACGTGCAGGCCTGCTAAAAGTGTTTCATACTCGGCCTCATTGTTTGAAGTCCGAAAGTTGAACCGCAGAGCATACTCGAATCGCTCGCCTCCTGGTGCGAGCAAGAGGATTCCTGCCCCGCACCCCCTCTCATTGGAAGATCCATCAACGTTGATCGTCCACGGGAGCTCGGACTCGGTCGACTGAGATGGTGGGGTGAGCTCCGCGATGAAGTCTGCCACTGCTTGCCTTTTAACGTAGTTCGAGGTTCGAATTGGATGTCGTATTCACTCAACTCCATTGCCCACTTCATCAGGCGTCCTGATGTTTCTGGCTTATGGAAGATGTTCTTCAGGGGCAAGTTGGTAAGCACCACAACGGTGTGTGCTTGGAAGTACGGCCTAAGTCTTCGGGCCGAGGTGACTAGGGCGAGGGCCAATTTCTCCATTTTAGGATATCTGGTCTCGGCTTCGGTCATGGCTTTGCTCGTGTAATAAATGGGACTCTGGCATACTCCCTCTTGCTTGATTAGAGCCGAGCTGACGGCGCTGTCGGACACTGCCAGGTACAAGTGGAGCTTGTCTCCTGGCAATGGCTTGGCAAGTAGAGGTGTCGAGTAGAGATAGTTTTTCAATTGTTCCAATGCTTGCTCGCACTCTGTCGTCCATTCAAAAGACCCCTTCTTTCTCAAGACTTTGAAGAAAGGAAGGCACTTATCTGTTGACCGTGAGACAAACATGTTCGAAGCTGCAATCCTTCCATTGAGGCACTGAAGCTGTTTCAGGGTTTTAGGCGCTTCCATCTCTAGCACGGCCTTTATCTTCTCTATTGGCTTCAATCCCACGGTTGTTTACCATAAAACCAAGGAACTTCCCCGAGGAGACCTCAAAGGCGCACTTGGTCGGATTAAACTTCATTTGGTACTTTCGCAGCACTCCAAAAGCTTCGGTCTGACCGAAAGGATGCGACTTTGACTGCTTGCTCTTGGCAAGCATGTCGTCCATATATACTTCCATATTCCGACCGATCTGCTTGGCAAATATTTTGTTCACCATCCTTTGGTAGGTCGCACCCGCATTCTTCAGGCCAAAAGGCATTACCTTGTAGCAGTACAGACCTTGGTCTGTTATGAACGTGGTATGATCTTGGTCTGGCACATGCATTTTGATTTGGTTGTATCCGGAGTAGGCATCCATGAAGGTGAGCAGCTCGTGCCCAGCCCTTGCATCCACGAGCTGGTCGATCCTCGGCAGGGGGAAACAGTCTTTTTGGCATGCCTTATTTAAGTTTGTAAAATCTACACACATTCTCCACTTGCCGTTGGATTTTTTAACTAATACAACATTAGAGAACCACTCGGGATACATAATTTCTCTTATATATTCAGCTTTTAATAGTTTGTTAACCTCCTCAACAATTACATCACTCCTTTCCTTATTTACAGGTCTTCTTTTCTGTTTTACAGGTCGGAATGATGGGTCTATGTTGAGGCGATGCACCATGATCTTGGTTTGGCACATGTATTTTGATTTGGTTGTATCCGGAGTAGGCATCCATGAAGGTGAGCAGCTCGTGCCAAGCCGTTGCATCCACGAGCTGGTCGATTCCCGGTAGGGGGAAGCAGTCCTTTGGGCATGCCTTATTTAAGTTTGTAAAATCTACACACATTCTCCACTTCCCGTTGGATTTTTTAACTAATACAACATTAGAGAGCCACTCGGGATACAAACTTCCTCTTATATATTCAGCTTTTAATAGTTTGTTAACCTCTTCAATAATTACATCACTCCTTTCCTTATTTACAGGTCTTTTTTTCCGTTTTACAGGTCGGAATGATGGGTTTATGTTGAGGCGATGCACCATGATCTTTGGGTCCATGCCGGGCATGTCCTCGTGAGACCACGCAAAGACGTCCGAGTTGGACCTAAGGAAGTTGATCAGTTCCTCCCTAGCAGTGGCCCCCAGCTTGGTTCCTATGCTTACTCGTTTCTCAGGGCTAAGCAAAGGAACAAGCTCGAGTTCCTCTGTTGGTGCTGCGAATTCCCTTTTACCTGGTTTCGGTAGGTTGGCCTCGGGCTTTAGCAACTCGTCCCAATTGGCTTGTTCTTCCAGGGCGCATACTGATGACCCTTTTAGCGAGGAGGCATAGCACCCCCAGCTTGGTTCCTATGCTTACTCCATTAGGAGTCGAGTATTTCAAGACTTGATGTAGCGTTGAGGGAACAGCCCGGAATGAGTAGACGATGGGTCTCCCGAAGATGGCATTGTAGGTCGATCTACCGTCAATCACCACGAACTCGGCCATCTGAGTTACTTGTGTACTGTCTTGCGCAATCGTAACCGGTAAGTCGACACACCCTTCTGGAGAGACGGATTCTTCAGAGAATCCAACCAAGGGTGTTGGACTCTTCTTCAATTGAGACCTAGTCCATCCCAAGGCCAGATATGTCGGGAGGGATAAGATGTTGGCAGACATGCCTCTATCTACCAATACTCTTCTGACCAAGACATGATCGATAAGAGGGGCGATCACAAGTGCATTGTTATGGGGCAGATGGACCCCCTCCAAGTCGACATCGTCGAAGGTAATGGAACAAGTCGGTTTCTGCTCCCTGATGATGCATACCTCGCGCCTGGCCTTGCGAGCTAGATCTTTCTTTTTGTTTCCAGACTGGCCCCCACTAAAGCCCCTGAAAATAGTGTTGATGACCGCAGGTCGATCATCTCGACGAGGTGGCGTCCTTGAACGCTTTCTCTCTTTTTTTTTCTTCACTGAGTTGGACCTTGGTTTTCCAACAAATTTTTTGAAGTATCCATCTTGAATGAGGTCTTCAATTTGGCGCTTCAATTCCTAGCAATTTGATGTATTATGGTCGTGATCGCGATGAAAACGACAATATTTATCCTTATTGCGCTTTTCTGGGTCTCCTTGGAGCTTCTCAGGTCGCTTGAAGAGCTTTTCCATCCCACTTTCCTCGATGTTTGTAAGTATCTCAGAGATGGGGATGGTGGTTGGGGTATAACGCTCGTAAGGTCGGCTTCGACTAGGGCTGATCTCCAACCTACGATACTCAGTTCGTCCGTCGGAAGAGGACGATCCCTCGTCCTTTGATTTAGAATCAACCTTCCTCTTCTCTTGGTTTGTTTTCTTCTGGTCGATCTGCTTCTCAAGTCGACCAGTTTTGGTTCGGAGGAGCTCCTGGCCATCAATGACTTTCTTCGCCTTTTGTAAGACTTCGGCGAAGGTTGCCAGTGCCTCCTCTCCGAGCTTCACGGTGAGGGTCTCATCGGCCAGGCCGGTAAGGAAGTAACACATGGCCGAGTCATCGGCGCAGTGCGCAACCTTCAACTGCTTCTCCTGGAACCTTGTGACATACTCCCTCAGCGTCTCACCTTCCTTCTGCTGGATGGTGGCGAGGTGAGTCGCTGTCTTTCTGTCATAATTCCGAGAAGAGAATTGACTGATAAACTCTTTCCTCAGCTATGAGTAGGTCGAGATCGATCTAGCCGGCAGTCTTCGATACGATAAGCGCGCGCTGCCAGTGAGTGCGATCTGGAAGGCGCGGCATTTGATTGCGTCTGTTGCCGCCTGAAAATCCATGAGGCATCCGAAGACGTCAACATAGTCTTTTTGGTCCTTAGACCCATCATATGGCTTTATGGTGGAAGTTTTGAACTTCGGAGGGATTGGAGCCTCCAGGATGTCCGAAGTGAATGGCGATTCTCCCAGGTCACCATCATCGAACGGATTTTCTTTTTTCTCGCACCTAGCCTTCAAGGCTTCAACCTGAGCATCGAACTTGCTCTTTAGCTGGTCGAACTCCTCCCTTGTGATCACTCCCTCGGGAGTTATTGGGTTGTAGGAGGACTCGGCCTGTTGATTGGAGCTCTTGTGCGAGCAGGACGGAGATTGTCCCTTTCTGAGAGACGAGCTTCTCTTTCTGTTGAGATGCTCACGGAGATCACCCCTCTGATGAGTGTACTCTTCATCTTCATCTCTTCCAAAGCATTCTTCCTCGACTGGTCCGAGGTGAAGACCTCTGCGCTCGCGCACCTCGCCGCGTGCGACTCGGTCTTTAGATCGAGACCCAGCACCTGCGGCTTGCACCATCTCGTTGTACATTTCTTCCATGGTGCGCAGTTGAGTGCACATTGCCTCCATTTCTTTCTGGAGTGCATCGAAGTTTTCCCTTGTTGGAGCTGGGGCTGGTCCCCGAGTGGTTCTCTTCGAAGCTCCACCTCAGCCGCGACTGGCTTTAGATGGCTTTGGATGTGCTGGCAGCAGAACGGGCGTGGTGATGCATGCTGACCTGCGGAGAGGCTCTGTCCCCAAGCCTTCATGAACCTGTCCCTCTACCACCTCTGCCCGGACCTCCCTCTGGTGGCCATCATTGGCCGTTAGAGCTCTTCGGTTGGCTGTGTTAGTTGAGTTTGCTGGTTGAACCATTTTTGTTCGCGCTTTTAAATCGGGATGACTTAGATCGTCTTTCCCCACAGACGGCGCCAAATGTTTATGCAAAGGTCTGCACAACGACACTTTACGAACCTAGCTCGAACCCGGTCTCCGGTTCGACCTGAACACAAGAGTGGACCTGCACAGGAGAGTAAACACTCCGACGCTCAAGTCAGTATAGGTCGAACTCCGTATTTAGTTCGAGGTGAGATTCGATACCTGAGCTTGAAATGAGGCCCTCTATTTATAGGTGGGGGATCTGACAGTACACACGACTGGCGGTTACATGTTTTTTCTCATGTCGGACTTGTCGGGTTCCGAGTAGATCGAACCCCAATCAGATCGGACTTCTGCATGTATACTTAGCCTGTTCCCAATGGGTGAACCCGATCTCTTCAGCAGGTTTGAGGTGGACCTGGGACACTTAATCCTTGAACACCAGTAAGCGTCCTCCACGTGTCCAAGGTATTTTTACCCCCAAACAAGGGCATTAGTGTTGTGACAATAGAGTTGAGGTGCTTGTAGGAGTCGTACTTGATTTCCTTGAATATGAAAAGTTTTCCAAGTTATCTCAGCTGTGGTGGTAGCCATCGCTCGATACTCGACTTTGAAACTAGATATTGCTACGATTTGTTGCTTTTTCGAAAACTATGATATGCAGCTGGGGCCTAGGAAGCTATAGAAATCCGCAGTACTACGACTAGTGTTTGGACAACCGTCTCAATCTGCATCACAAAACTGCATAAATTTAAGGAATTGTGTTTGTAAAAATCAATATCGTAGTCTATTGTATGATTGAGGTATCTCAATATTCTGTTGACATTTTTTAGGTCCTTGAGTGTCGGTTTTTGTTATTGTTGAAAAACGGGATTGACTGAATGTACTATGTCTAGGGGAGCCATAGTGAGATACTAGAGTGATGTGGCAATACTTCTATACTCTCTAGCATCAACTATGGTATTGTCATCTGGTTCAGGTGTAGCATGTATTGCCATAGGTGTGTCGATGGGTGACGCTTCAAGTATTCTAGCTTTGTGTAGGATTTCTCAAGCATTCTTGCTTTTAGTATGAGTAAGTCCTTGGCAATTGTAGTGCACTTCTATCCGTGAGAGGAAGTGTAATCGTCTTAGATATTTCACAACAGATTCACTACCTAATTGGTTGACGAGGGCTTGAATTTTATATGTATGGGTGCTTGTAAGAATGATATCATCTACATAGATCAACATAAGTTAAGTAACAAGATAGAATTTTCTCTAAATACAATTAAGGAGGGATAATACGTAGAACAAAGAATCCCAAAATGGAATAAGAATTAAGATAATCTATCAAACCAAGATCTAAATGCT